GATAATGATAATAGTAATGGTAATAAAGATAATGATAATAATAACAGTAATAACAATAATGATAGTAGCAGTAATAATAATAATAATAATAATAATAATAATAATAATAATAATGATAATATCAATGATAATGATTATAGTAATAATAACAATAGTAATAATATAATGATAATGATAATGATGATAATAATAATAATAATAATAATATTAATAATAATAATAATTATTATCATTATTATTGTTGTTGTTGTTATTATTATATTAATAATAATAATAATAATAATAATAATAATAATAATAATAATGATGATGATAATGATAATAATAATGATGATAATGGTAATAATAATTAATGATAATATAATAATAATAATAATAATAATAATAATAACAATAATAATAATAATAATAATAATAATAAATAATAATAATAATAATAATAATAATAATGATAATGATAATAATAATGATCATGACAAAAATAGCAATGAAAATAGTAATGATAACAATGACGATAAGAATGATGATAATATCAAAAGTATCATTACCAATAATGACAATTACAATAATAATGACAATAACAACAAAAATGATCATAGTAATTATCATTATCATGATGACGATAACAATAATTACACAGAAAAGAAATAAGAAGAAGCTTAAGTGTGCAAACAGACAGACAGACAGAAACAGAGACAGACAAAAACAGACAGAACCGAAGGAGTAGATGTAAGGATTAATAATAATAATAAAATAATAAGAAGCTGATGAAAACGAAGGAGACGAAGAAGACGAAGAAGACGAAGAAGAAATAAGAGAAAATTGAAGAAAATACAGGTAAAGCACAAAATATTCTTCTCAAAACAAGTAAATAAAGCGAATCTGCCTCGTCATCCTACTATCTCCGCGAATCAAGCCTGTGTTTAAATTGATTCTGATAAACAAGACCGTAGATCAAAATAATTTGCATTGTGGTTCGGCCGCATAAGTGCAAATCAGAGAGAGAAGGTGGGAAGAGAGTGGGAGGGAGGAAGGGAGGGGGGAGAATGGGGAGGGAGAGGAGGAGAGGAGGTGGGAGGAGGAGGGAGAGAGAAGGTGGGAGAGAGAGAGAGAGACAGAGAAGAGAGATGGAGAGAGGAGAGAAGGTGGGAGAGAGTGGGAGGGAGGAAGGGAGGAGAGAAGGGAGAGAAGTGGGAGAGAGTGGGAGGGGAGGGAGATAGTGGGGAAGGAGGTGGGGAGGGAGGGGAGGTGGAGAGAGAGGGAAGGAGGTGGAGGGAGAGAGGGAGAGGGAGGTGAATGGGAGGGAGAGAGAGAAGGGGAGAAAGAGAGGTGGGGAGGAAGGGAGGAAGGGGAGGTGGAGAGAGGGAGGGAGAGGAAGGGAGGGAGAGAGAGAGAAGGGGAGAGTAGGGAGGGAGGGAGAGGGAGGTAGAGAGAGTGGGGAGAGGAAAGGATGGAGAGAGAAGGAGAGAGGGTGGGAGAGAGGGAGGGTTAGGGAGGAAAGGAGGGAAGGAGGGAGGGATGGATGAATGGGTGGAGGAGGGAGGGAGAAGGGGAAGGAGAGTTAGAGAGAGAGAGAGAGATAGAGATAGATAGAGGAAGGGGAGAGAGGGAGTAAGAACGATAAAACAGAATGAGATAAGAAAGAGAGAGAGAAATAAAACAGAGACAACCAGACACAAACAAAAGAGAAAGAAAGAGAGAGAGACGGGCAGAGAAAGAGACAGAACAAAGAGAAAGAAATAAACCAGACTGAGAGAAGAGAGAGCGAGACAGACGAGAGAGAGAGAGAGAGAGAGAAGAGAGAGAGAGAGAGAGAGAGAGAGAGAGAGAGAGAGAGAGAAGAGAGAGAGAGAGAGAGAGAGAGAGAAACAGACAGACAGACAGACAGACAGAGAGAAAGCCAAACAGACAGAAAGCCAAACAGACAGAAAGCCAAAAAGAAAGCCAAACAGAAAGAAAGAAAGCCAAACAGAGACAGACAACAGACCCAGAGAGAGAGAGAAGAGAGGCTCGTAAGATCTCCCCAGTAAATANCACATGATTCAAAATTAAAGATCACATGATTCAAAACACCAAAATTTACGTGAAGCGTCACATTCGACATATAGGTAATCTCAGCGAATGCTCAGGACTCCCTATAAGAACGCTTAATTTTTTCATTTATTTTTTACGATGATCTTACGTATTATGCCAGTTATAACCATACGCATTACTTCTTTTCAAACCTCCTGTTCTCTGGTGGAAACCCTAAATCAGATATATCCGCACGATCAACGTACAAGCTTTCTCGGGACACTGAGAGCACCTCCATTCAGACATGTCTTCATTCTCTATTCCATCCACCGTAAATACACATCTCTCCTACGCTAGCGGCCCTACAGGCAAAACAACGCTGCACCTGGCAACAGACATAACAGGATGGCTCGGGCGAGAAAGGTGCCCGTTTCTCTATAGACAGAAATGTGTTTACGTTATCCTGTGTACCATGACACTATTAGGTCATATTCCGACCTGCACCAAACCACTTTGCCTTGGACGTGCACAAAGTGAAGGACATTCTACGATCATTCGCTGCCAAGCCGCCAACGTCCTTTTGAACAGGAAGAGATCGCGAGAGGAACCATAATATACAGACTGAATGAAAGTGAAAAACGTGAGACGAATTTAGACACTAAATGGACGTCAAAATTTTTTTCTGAAAAAAGTGTAGGGCGAAAATTGCGTTTTACTTTCGTGAGAAACTCCTACCAACTTCATTTCACCAACTTCCTTCTTGGTTAGAATCACGTAACTGATAAGGAGGACAAGTCCACGGACGCTCTGTATATAAAGACGTATTCATTAAGGGAAGGAGGGCGGGAACGGAGAGGTTGGCGGTCTAAAATAAAACGGACAATTGGCAAAAAAAGAGAAAAACGAGAAGAAAAAATGATAAAAAAAAACTGATTTAATAAAAGGGAGATGGGGTGGATTAGTGAAATAAGGGAGAAGGAGAATTGGAGGAAAAGAGAGACAGAGTTCGGGAGGGTCGGAAACAAGATGAGGGAAGTGGGAAGAGGGAGAGCGTGTGTGCGAAAGGGAAGGAGAAGGGGGGGGGGTGAGAGGGAGGGAGAGAAGAGAGTCGGGGAAGAGAGTGTGATAGAGAGAGAGGGGGGGAGAGATGGAGGGGAGAAACAGAGAGAGAGAGGGGGGGAGAAGGAGGGGAGAAACAGAGAGAAGAGAGAGAGAGAGAGAGAGAGAGAGAGAGAGAGAGAGAGAAGAGAGAGAGAGAGAGAGAGAGAGAGAGAGAGAGAGAGAGAGAGAGAGATAAAGGAATATATAAGCTGAAATAACAGTCAGTCACACAGACAGACAGAGACAGACAGACAGAGAGAGATACAGGCATATATACAGGCTGAAATAACAGAGTCAGAGAGAGAGAGAGAGAGAGAGAGAGAGAGAGAGAGAGAGAGAGAGAGAGAGAGAGAGAGAGAGAGAGAGAGAGAGAGAGAGAGAGAGAGAGAGAGAATGAGAGAGAAATGGGAGAATGTGGCAACATCCGCGGCAGAAAGTGTGTGCGAGTGTACCCGTCGACACCGCAAGTCGCCGAATGTCTGAGTCGAATTTACAGACAAAGAGGTTCGCCCTGTATGGTTTGGTGTATGCATGGGTGTTCTTCACTGTTCAAGATAAGATGTGTCTCTTCGGGCTTTGGTAAAACAGCAATGTTTACTACAAGCCTTTATTTAGACCAGACTGTTCCCGTTACGGCGGCGGAGCTGTGACGCATTTGTTTTGTTTATTCAGGGCGGTATCCGCAGCTACGGAAAATAAATCATGTCCTTTGTATTCACATTCCTTGTATAATGTTTTGCATATTGTATAATTTAAGAATCCGATGCAAACGGCTTGAAATGAGAGCCCCCAACCAAAAGAATGCATGGGAGGCCCATGCCATTTAGTTGCCAGTCATGCAAATGTTGGCGGCGACCTGCACATCCCAGGCATCTCCAGCCATCAGGTGTCATGAACGGCAGACTGTCAGTCATTCACAAGTAGCGATGCTCGGCGCGGCGGGAGAGTCTGTTGGGTGACACACGGGCACGGGTACGAAGCCCGGAATGGTACACATGAGCAGTAGTAGTTGAGGAAAACGGGACGACCTCTCTGCGTCCTCCTTAGGGCGAGATCTTCATGAAAGTCTTGGCCTTTCTTTGAACTTTGAATTTCGATCGATCAAAGCCAAGGCACGGCGTCACTATGCCTTCGGTATTTCAGTGTCAGAAGAATTACACAAGAAATGTCGCTCGAGATGGCCAATATTAGAGTCTGCGAAGGCGAGCAGTGACGGGAGCGAGGCAGCAGTCCGAGCGAGACAATATGGGGAGGTCGATACAATCTGGAATAGTTGTTGCGAGGGTAGCGTTCAGCGAGGCCCGGGCCCTCAGCGTCACCCGTCAAGAAAGCTTCAGCGCGCGCCCTTTGCACCTTATACTAATTTCTATGTGACATGATACACCTCTCATATACCTATTTGTTCCTAAAAGCCCAGTCTTAGTAACAGTCAGCAACACAGAGGAGACGCCCATGTCATTTCCTCCTGGCCGCCATTTTGTAAACTCAAACAAAGAGTTGCGGTTTTTTGGGTCGCTGAAGCCTCGTACGGGGACGGTGAATCTTTGAAAGCTTGGGGATTTATATATCTAAGAGGTTTGCTATATTCAGGAACCATATCAAAGTATGAAACGAATTTATTGTAATGTTAATCAATAAAGTATTTCAGAGCCTGCGCGACCGTCGCTAGGTGCAGATGGCTCTCACGCTCCCAGGCATCAAACACAGTCTTGTAAAAATTTAACTTCCCTTTTATGCCACAACGCCGCGGCAACGATACAAACTGGAAAATAATCTACGCAACCTTTATATTTTTCAACGCCGTGTTATAAAATAAAATCCGCCGAAAGTGAGAAAAACGCGCGGGTATTGTTAGTGCGTTGTGGTGGTGGTGACGTGCGAGGCGGAGTGTTGGAACGCGTGGTGGTGAGCCGCTCGCGAACAATACTACCGGCGGTGTGTCCTGACTCCGCTTCTTCGGTGCCTAGTGCGCCGCTCGTGACTGCCGCCCTGCCCCAGAAATGTGTTCTCGGTGTTTCTGAGTGAGTGCTCTCGTGTGTGATCACAAGGAAAAATGTCTAAGGATAGGAGCAAAGACGCAGAAGCGTATGACCGGGAATATGATGCGTTTCTCAAGCAGCTTGAGGAGTTTCATCAGCAGAGGGGGTAAGTGCAGTTATATTGTGGCTTTTGACGAGTCCTGAGATATGTGTTGGTGTTCTTTACGTGTTGAGTCAAGCACTAAGGCCGAATATGCCCCGACAGGACGCCCTTCAAGCGGCTCCCCCGCATCAACGGCAAGGGAGTGGACCTGTACCTGCTCTACGTGGTGGTGACGGCGCGCGGCGGCTGGCAGAAGGTCGGTGTCTCGCCACTCGTATTTTCCCGCCACGGGTTGAGGCCACTGGCACTGGCACCTCACGCACCACAAGCACACTCACCTCGCGCTATCACTCCACTCATTCACTCACACTACTCACTCACACCCTTAGACATGGCCAGCGCTGCCCCTGGGGTGGCGTTCTTGCCCCGGTTCCTACTGTCAACGAGCTCTTCCTGTTGCCCTCCTTGTGCTTTCCACCTATCCATCTATCGTCCTTCTATCTCCTATCTTTTGTCATCTATCTGCCCCTGCCTTCATCTCTATTCAGGCTTTTTACCATCATCCTCTCTTCTCTTTTAGCTCCATCCAATTCTGCCTTCCATCTATCGTAGGCATTTTGGATATGGGGTGGTAGGCAGGGGGAAATTAAACCAAGTTTAGGGCACAAAATGCTAAAAAAAACGTGACAAGTTAAGTTGTTAGCATAGGCTTGTAGCAGGGCTGCAGCATCACTACCATGGGGCCTAAAAATGACAACTCTGGTGTTGTGTGTCACCTTTCAGAATTTTCCTCTTTGTAAACAGTAAATGTATCAGGTACTTTTTATTATATTTCATTGAGGACACTAACTTCATGGGATTGTTAATAGGAATAACTAGCAGTTCCTTTGTGTGTGAAAATTCATGTGCACAAGGTATATTTATACTTCATAACACTGTGTGAATCAGTGTTTGATTTCTTATTTGAAGACAGATAATCAGTCTTTATCAAGGAATTGGACATTTCAGAGATGTGACCTCAAGGCTTTTCTGAAGTATGTTGTTTAAGCCTAACTTGCAGGATATTCAAAGGAATTTTTATATAATTAGGGAGTGAAGGGAAGAATGGAACTTTATTTAGTGAATGATATGATTGATCAGGGTTCTAGATTACGCTTTGCAGTAATTTTATATAATACGCAGTGAGATAGATACATAGGAAATATCGGAACCCTTCAAAAGAGGAGAGGGTTCGTATGAGAATTGTGAAATGATTCTTAGACTGAAATAAAGTTAAATGTTGGAAGTAGACAAAAGAGGAAAGTAAATATTCTCATAGTATGAAAGAAAGATGTGGAATATTGCTATTTGATTAGATAAAACTCTCAAGTAATTCTGGTTGAGTAATGATTTTCATTGACAAAGCTATAAAGATTATTTTGGTTGCTCATGCATGTGCACACACACCCACAAGGCAACCATTTTTTACTAGTTATATAATTTCTCTACGGTTATTTCAGTGTTAAGATTTTATTTTCAGAAAGTTTTTAACATACAAGGGTTCATATTTCTTTGTTCCTTCTTTCTAAGGAGAACTGAAAAAGATACAAGACAACACAAATGGACATTCTAAGAAATGAATAAACTGTAGTTATATATCTTAGCTAGTTTGCTCTTGTGCTGTTTGATTATTAGGAAGAAAAGATAGAGAATATTCCTTAATGACTTGTTATTTCAAGAAATCCATATAAAATATTTAAAATGAAGGGAGAGCAACAAGTATGAATTTGATGCTGACGACCGCTTTTTCATAGAACGATCATATTTTTGTTTAGCATTTATAATTGATAATTTTTTTCTCTCTATCTGTAGTTTGTGTGTGTGTGTGTGTGTGTGTGTGTGTGTGTTTTTGTGTGTGTGTGTG